TTGGGCAGGGACACCACTCCTACCCCCTGGCTAATACCACTCCATGGACCCAAGCTCCATGACTATCTCACTTCTCTTTAAACTCTGTTCTAGTTGTAGCCTTCACAGCCTCCTGCAGCAAGGAGTTCCACAGGTTGACTCTGCTTTGTGAAGAACAACTTTCTGTTATTAGTTTGAAGCCTGCTACCCATTCCTTTCCTTTGGTGTCCTCTAGTCCTTCTATTATGGGAACTAATGAAGAACTTTTCTTTTTGCACCCTCTCCACCCCACTCATGCTTTTATAGACCTCTACCCTACCCCCCCCTCAGTCTCCTCTTTTCTAAACTGAGAAGTCCCAGTCTCTTTAACCTCTCTTCATATGGGATCTCTTTCAAACCTCTGATCATTTTAGTTGCCCTCCCCTCTCCCAGCCTCTCTCTTCCCCTCTCCCACCTCCTTTTCCCAGTCTCTCCGAGTTTTGTTCAATAAAGAGAGATTCTATTTTTGACCACACGTTTTCTTTATTTTGTACATCAGGAACGGGGGCTAGGGAGGGGTAAGTGGAAGGAGATTAGGGAGGAATGGGGTACGAGCCCCCAATGGGGAGGACTGGGCTGGCTCTGCAGGCTTCTGGAGCCCTCTCTCCAGATGGCAGCCTGCAGCAAGTGCAGCCGGTCTGATGGCCAAGTGCTGTGATGTGCCCAGTGTGGGTACTCCGGGCAATCCAAGCCAGGACTGCTTTGCAAGCGGGGCACCCCTGAGAACTGTCTGTCCGGGGTGGGGGTCGGGTCCCTTTAAGCACAGCCCTCGGCTAGCCTGAGACAGCAGCTCCACGCTCTAAGTCCTACTCTGATGCCCTGCCGGCACTGCTTCCGGCCATCCTTAACCCCGGTTCAGGGTCCACTTAATGTGGACATGCTATTTTGAATTAGCAAAACGCTAATTCGAACTAGTTTTTTAGTCTGGATGCGTTAGTTCGAATTAGCTTAGTTCGAATTAGCGCTGTAGTGTAGACATACCCTAGGACACTTGAAATACACTAGTTGTGGTTGTAACTGCACTGTAAAGGAGGACTTCTTTCAATGGAATACATAACACAATAAATATTTGCTACATATTAAAATGCAGATGCTGACCCACAAACTGCTTGCTTTTCCTATACCTGTTGACCCACTGACCTCCATATTACTAGCTAGGACATATCAGAAGTGGTTCAATTTGAAGAAACCAGAATCACTTTACCCTTGTATATTTACATGGACTCAAATTAGGGGGGGTTGTGGTTTATTTTTTCCTGCTTTGCTTCTTACAAAAAAAATATTGGTGTTCCAATGTCCTGGAGCCCCAGGTTCTATTCCCTATTCTGCCACTATCTTGCAGTGTGACCTCATGCAAGTCACTTCCCCTCTATGCATCTCAGGCTATGTCTAGACTTTCGCTTTTTCGAAAGATAGCATCCAATCAACGTGGATGCTATCTCGCATTTCGCTTGTGATTACTGTGGATGGAGTGGCCACCAGGGCACGTTGTGCTTTTTCCTGGAGGCCTCTTCTTTCAAAAAATCCTCTCTTCCGCATCCACACACACCTTCTTTGGAAAAAGGCTTCTTCCTTATAGAAAGAGGTTTACTATGGTGGGAAAAACCTCTCCATTCTTTTGACTTTGTTGAAAGAACCCAATTGCAGTGTGGCCGTAAGTGTAGTTTTTCTGAAAAAATGGTAGTTTTTCCGGAAAAACTCTGCAGTGTAGACATACCCTCAGTCCCCCCACTATAAATTGGGGATACTGATACTGATTTTCCATTTTCGTCTTTAGGGCTCAAAGCACTTGACAAGTGCTGTAAACTTTCACTATTGTCATTCTGACCAATTTTCCCTCTGTCCCATCTGCAAATTACCAAGACATATTCCTCATGTCATTACAAAGGTTCCACCCTGTTACCATCATACATACCAGTTCAAGATGACATTCAGGTTCTGTTAATCAATTTCACAGATGAAGACTGAAATAATGTTTTAAGCTCATCATCTAATTCATACAGATCATCTAACACAAACTTCTTTGTTGGGAAGGCGAGGCCTTCAAGCTGGGAAGGCCAAGACTATTCACAAAAGCTAAAAATAATCCCTTGACACATTTCTATTGAGTTCTGGACCAACCTGGTTTTGAAAAAAAAAAGTCTGACACTCAGGTGGTGCAAACGGGCACAGCTGGTGTTGATCTTTCAGTGGAGGTATGCCAATTTCTATCGGTCAAGGATCTGAAGCCATGTATTAATACAAGTTAAATGATTCTGACAGCATGAATTGAGAATTTGCAGTAAGTTTGTCACTTTGAATACTATGGAAAGGTTTATGTGTGTACCTGATAGTACCAGCCCATCAGGCCAAGATTTCCTGTAGCACTCTGAGATGTGTTAAGGCACGATGTAGCTCCTGAGTAGTTGTAGTAGACATTTGCTGCCTGGAAAACATTCTGCAGCAATAATTTGTCTGGCTGTTTAGGATTCTTTAGGAACTTGCAAACTACCTATAGCAAGAGAAAGGGGAAAAGTCTCTAATGAAGTTTGAGACAGACTGACGAACCCTGAAGATTGCTTTCTTTTGAACATTTTGTCAGTCTGAACAGCAGTATTTCTTGGACACCCGTTTTATTTGATGTTATATATTACACAGACAGACAATTCTCTTAAATAAATCAGAATAATGCACCTATAAAATATAACATGTGCAGTGCAGCTAAGTTAATTTTGCTAGTAGGACATGACATTTTGAATTTCCTGACTATTTCAACTATACAATCTTAATTCTGCATTAGAGGTTTCTACATCCAATTCCCTTGCTTTATAAAATACTTTGTTTTATAATTAGATAGAAAAGTTAATAAATAATTTGGGGTTCCTTTGGGATAAAAATTGTCTCATAAAATATAAGTTCGCTGTATCTAGCATAATGGGATTCCAATCCATGGCTGGGGCTTTCAAATGCTACTATAACATAAATTAGGAAGTTTCTCATTTTTAAAGTGATCCTGTTTTTGATTACTCTGGCAGTTTTCTTATTTCTTCAGCTCTGGAAAACACTGGAAGGAGGCACGGTGCTGCTGGAGAATTAAATCAATGCTGGGCTTGGTTTGTAGCTCAGGGTTAAATCTATCACACCATGATCTGCCTTCACACAGATTGTCCCCCTTCTCAAACAGAAGACCCTTGAGCATAGCTCCCTTCTCACTTCCTGCTCCATGGAGAGCTCTCCCTAGGCCTGAGACCTACATGAGGAAGGGCAAAGACTGAGCATCCCAATGATAAGAGTGGGGAGGGCCAGGGCACATCCATCAGACCCCCAACTCATCCTCATCCAAACCCATCCTTAACCCACTGAGAATCTGTCAGTGCGGCTCTTGCCAGAGACAGGGGGAAGTGCACCAGGGACCTGCAGCAGTTGTGAAGTCACACAGTGTCTGTGCAAGCACTTCTGGCCACCTACAGACCTCTTGAGGCCTTCATGATTTGAGGGCAGCTCTGTAGCTTATTATGGGAATGTGTGTGCTGGAGGGAGGGCAATGTGCATATCCTGTCCCCACGAAAAAGACACAATCTGGAAGAAATTTGGAAAGGAAAATTTGTGCAACTTTCCTCTCCCCTTAGCCTCTTTCCCCCAGATTTCTGGGGGACACAGTTCATACAATCCAGCTCCCTGAAGGATGCAGAGAGCAGCTCTAACTCCCCAGGAAGCTGCTGGAAGTTGGTGGTGCTCAGAAGTGGGTGTAACATATAGTAAGGCATGCATGCACACCAGATGGAAAGGAGTGTTTTGACTCCTGCTAGCTAACACAGTGTCTAAAACACAGTCAGCCCCTACTGAAGAAGAGGTCGTTAGTAGTTTCAGCACAAGATAGTGAAGTACAGGTTAAGGGACCCTAGAATTGGCTGTGACCTTCAGACTCAGGCAGTTCAGAGTTTTAATGTGAATGAGCAGGTGATAGTCAACTCCAAGTTGCCCCAGAGCAGTTTTAACACAAGTTAGCAGGTCGACGTAGAGGTTAACTCCTCTTTGTAACTAGGATTTTACCTTGTGTTAGCTCACAGGAGGCAGGAATGTACTTAGGCCTATCCTTAGGAGGAGGAAAGGTAAGTCACCAACTGTTCTGCTACAGGTTGGACCGCCCTGGTCCAACACCACTGGGACCTAACTGGTCCCGAGTGAGAGAATTTGTCGAACCAGGGGGAGGTGTCCCCTGCCACTTGCCTGGAGCTAACTGGCCTCCTGCCTCTGGCCCCTTTTACGCTCTCCCCAGCCGAGCTGTCCGTTGTGCTGCTGCTGCCCCCCGACTCAGACGCCATGGGCAGCCAGGGTTCTCCAGCCCCAGCCTGGCCTTGCATTGTTGCGGATGGTCACGTTTCCCTTGCTCCGCAGTGCCACAGGCAGCTGAAGCTCCCCAGTCCGTGGCTCCATGCTACTGTGGGTGGCCGGCCTTCTTCGGCCTCCAGCCCCATGCTGCTGCAGTTGGCTGGGGTTCTTCAGCCCCCACTTTGTGCTGCTGCAGGCAGCCAAGGTTCCCTGGACCTGCACTGCCATGGGCTGCTGGGGTTCTAGGACCCTAGCCCCAGCACTGCTGTGGTGCTCCTCCAGCCCTGCTGCCTCTGGCCCTCCTGCCATTAGGAGAGGCTGGATTTCAGAGGTGCAACCTGTATCATTATTAAGAGAGTTTTCCACCTTGGCTTGTTCCAATGCTTTATTTTGCGCCAGCACTTGCCAGGACTCTGCCCCTGCAGCTCTAGGGTTGGCAATTCATAGGTTTGCTACATCAGTTATGAATGTAAAAAAAATTGCTAGAATTCCAGCAGGTAACTGCTTGAGTCCCAGCACGGCTTTCATTACAAAAGAGGTACTGGCTAGTTCTCTATCCAGCTTGCTTCTGAAGAGCACTGCTGAAGGCAAGGATGAGAGTCTAAAGAGTTGCAGACAGCCCTACCTCTCTAGACCAAGCACAAGGGTGGCGGCTGAGAGACCAATCACTTCCCAGAGGGCACCGTCCACCCACGCTAGAGAAAGGATTAAGTAGACACATTTGGCTATTTGAACAGATTTTCTTGCCCTAAGCTCTCAATACCCTTCTCCCTCTTACTCAGCTAATCACATTAGTTTTGTCATTAGAGCTCGCATTTCATAGAAGGTACCTAAACAGCTTAAGCCACCCACAGAGGTTGGACACATTAGAAGTGCCAAGAGAAACAGAAGGATTTTCTATTTCATCTTACTGAGTGACTGTGGCTCACTCAAACCTTTGAGCTCTATCAAAGGAAATTCAGGGATGGGAGTCAGGTGGTAAAGTGGATCCTTCAAATTGCATTTACACAGACAAGAGACTGAAATCAAACTCAGGGTATTTATGCTGCTGGGAGAGCCGCTAAGGACAGGCGACTTTCCATTCTGCCAGCCTTTCCTTCCTTTTCCCTTCCACTAGTCAAATCTATGGTTATTTTTGCATGCACATTTCAGCTTTTGCTAACAAGCCAGATCAAGTCAAGCCTACCAATGCCAACAACACAACACAACAGTACACAGTGCAAGGACATGAAAACCACACAAGAACACAATTCAGCAAACCTCTTGCTCACATCCTTGATCATTCAGTGTAGTACCTCATGCTGAAATCCATAGGAACATGCCTTAGGGACTACTCAGTATGAGCTGAAGTCCTTAGGTGTGTAATTAGTCCCCTTCACATAAACCATACTACCCACATTAGCAAGATTTTTCCAGCAGGATCAAATCCTTATATGGCACATAAAACCAAGCCTGCCTACTAAAGGAGATCAACTGTTTTTCTGTTCAAAATTTCAGTTTAATGGAAGATAATGCTAGTATTCACTTTATTTACTTTAATTTTACCTACTGTACATTATTGGTAATACGTATACAGTAGCTTGAAGTGACTCCGACGAATTCATTGAGGGGTTAATAGAGTAGAGACAAGACCAAGAAGAGGCTCAGAGGCCAGGAGCATTCGATGTAAGTAGGGCTAGCAAATGAGGGAGCGGATGTGGAGAGCTGCAGGCTGGAGGTCAGACCACAGCTGCAAAAACAATCTAGTGCCAGCACATTGGGGCTCAGAAGACCAGAGGGCTATGGAAAGATCTTCAGAGGAAAAGGCCGTAGCTGAGATCATAGCAGATGAAGGTATAAATAAGGAGTAGAGCTGAGGGAAAATAAGGACCAAAAGCCACTTTCCAACAAAGCTGGTGAAAGAGAAAAGTTTTGGGTTGGAAGATTGGCTCTACAGAGCCAACACAAGTAACAAAGAAGTAACACATTTTTTAAAATCAAGCAGTTGTGACTCATGTACATAGGGACAGCAAACCACACTGATGATCCAGAAAGTGCCATTTTTACATGATCACTTGGCAAAGCCAATTGCCCTCAGGTTTGTGGTAAGGTTTAAAAAGAGCAAACTGGAACAAGATGGTTTTAGGTGACAGCTAGCTGATTTTAAAATTCCCTTTCATGATTGTCAAAAGAAAAGGACCACAGGGCAACCCAAAGCCAGATACATGCACTGAAGACTAGATGCTGGCCATCTGTTATAGGAACGGAAAAAAATATAGTAGTTAAATGTGCAACCTTGTCATACTCAAAACTGTATTCCTTTAAACAGTGTGCCAGACCCTGTACAAGGTGGGTCAGAGCTGGACCTCAGGCAGAAGAGGTGGGGTATGGGTTGCCTGAGACTCTGGCCACTGCCATTTCTTTTGTAGTAGCGGCAGTGGCTGGGAGGCCCAGGCCCTTTTAAATCCCCAGGCCTTGGGGCAGTTGCCCCCTATACACCCCCATCAGCAAGCCTAAGCAGGGAGCCTAAACAGGAAGCCCTGTAACGAGTTTTGATAAACACAATATATTAATTGAGACAACCTATTATTTCACGGAATCAGTGAGCATCCTGGATTTTCTTAACTTTTTAAAAGCAGCAATTTGCAGTAGATCAACTTGTCCCAGCCTAAAGCCGAATCATTTATAGAAGAAGCAGACACTCACTTACCTGAATAGGCCAAGCTGGCAGGGGCTGTAAGAAGTCAGCTTTATATGGATAGTTCACCATTGCCAAATTTACCCATGTTTCACTTAGCCAAGCTTTCAGCACAGCAACATCTTGCTTGGTTTTTAATGGGCTGCATAAGTGAAATGCGCTGGAAAGCCACTTCAAACCATCATCTAAGCAAGACGACATATAGATTAGTGGTTAATGCCCTGGAGTCAGTCATACATCATAAAGGCTATGGATGGTAAGGCCCCGAAATATGCCACAGTTAGTGCAACTTCTTTTCCTAATGTGTAATTAATCCACTGATGAAATCAGAATCTGGTCCAGTGTGTGTTTCAGTGAAGGAATTACTGGGGGGGGGGAGGGTATGTGGATAGTGCATATTAAGCATATTAGGTTAATGTGAATCTGGTTGGTGTTTGGAGAACATGGTGTCTAACATAGTGAACACCACAGAGCAAGCCTTTCTTTTCTGAAAGGAAAGATCAAACCTTCTAGTTAAATACATGAGAGCCGTCAGTAGATAACTCAGGATTCTGCTTGCCCTTTTCTCCCTTGTTTTGCCTGACTAAGAATCCCTCTGCCTCAGTTTTCCAATTCTATAAACCAACTTATAATACTGATCTCTCCAGTGGGTCCTGAACTAGAACAGCAAAATAAATTATAAAATTCTTCATCTCTACATAGGCTGCAAACCCACCTGATTGCTCCACCCTAACACATAATGATGGATAGGCCAATGTCCAAATAAGATTTTCCCTTCCTCCTTTTCTGTTTATTTTAAAGCTAGTTTAAACAGAAAACCAAACAGATAATCCGTAAGATCTTTCCCATTCCCCTCCATTCACCTTTTCTCATGAAATTAAGGATGTTGCCTTCCTTCCTAGTCTGCACCAGGCTGGAATGCGACAGATTCCTAAAACAACTCTGATCTGAATCGAACTCCGGATCTGAAGTTTTGCCAGTGGTCAGGAACATTTAGACTTGGATTTTACACCCCATAAAACCAATACAAACCATATGCTATGCCATCAGAAAGGTCTATTTTTAAAGTTACCTTCCCATTTTTGAAAGGTTGATACCATGAGACTTCAGAAACAGCATTCCAGTGATAGCAAAGCTTTCTTTTACCCATTCCAAATAAAAGAAATGGCTTAACTCTCTAGATCTAGACTAATGTGTGCTATTTTTTGTCACTTTTAAACAACCTAGTGATTTTCCATGAAAAACTAGCTGCAGTACCGAGCATGCAGATGTAACATGGACTGTTAGGCTACTGCAAAAAAAAAAAAGTGAACAAATCTAGAACTCAAGCAGCATGGAAGCTTTTCTGGGGGGGGGGAGGGGGTTCCTATTTCCATGTGATAAGATAACATATTCTACCTGTGTCTGATTTCACCTTCAAAGCCGATTCTAAATTGTCTCATTTAAAAAGCTATTTTTAATGTAAAAGCTATGTTAAAAAAAGAACGATACACATGACAATCTCTCACACTTTGTGCAATTTCAAAATTTAAACTGATCAGAGCGATAGCTAGTAGGGATGTTAAAATTTGATTAAAGAGCTAATCAAGTAGTTGATGGAATTTCCGTCATCTACTCAATTAGTTGATAAGAGGTAGGGTGGGGTACTCGCTATCCTGGCTGCACCTTTGCCTTTGAAATGTAGTTAGAGCCCTGAGGGGCTATTGCCACATTTCAAGGCAGAGGCAGCGCAGCAGGGAACCCGGGGCGAGCAGGGACTCAAGCTGCTTCAGTCCCCACTGGCGGAATTTCTCACTGGGGCTCTGCCTCCCCTGCTATCCCTCCCCCCGTGTAGACAATGCTGAGGGGGAACCGGCTTTTAAGCCAGCTCCACCCAGCACCGGCTCCTGTTTTCCTCCCCTTGCTGCCTCTGATAGAGAGGCAGCAAGGCACGGGGGGAGCGACTAATCAACTCAACTACCCAATAAGCTTATGCCTATGCTTATCGGGTAGTCAACTAATCGCTTACATCCCTACTAATTAGTCTGTATCCACAAAAACACCCAGAAGTTCTATAGCACTTTAAAGATTAAGAGATTTATTTGGGCATAAGCATTCCTGAGCAAAAGCCCACTTCATGCATCTGAAGAAGTGGGGTTTTGCCCACATAAGCTTATGCCCAAATAAATCTGTTAATCTTTAAAGTGCCAGAAAATTTACAATGATGCTCTTTAAGCAAACTGCTTGAACTTTGTGATCCTTTAAAAAGCATGATTTCAAAAAGGTCTTGCCAACTTCCTACCTGTAGAGGAGACACGGTTAATGGCCTCCCATGAATTCAGGATGCTCTCTGAGCAGCACTGTCCACTCTTTTTGAAATCATTTGTCACTATACTGTAGAAAGTGCCACAAGGTACCAAATCCTCAAACTGCCAGATTGGGGCAGAGGCTGCAAGAGCTCTATGGATGGAAACAGAAAGACAAGATTGTTTGGTGAAACATGTGTGTCTAGCACCTCTAAAAATAATGAGTCTCTGTCCATATGGCAATGCTTCCCTCACAAATTTCCTGTTGTAATTAGAAGTGTCTAAAAATAGATGTTTATAATTCATCTGGGACATGCACTCTTGACTGAGATTTACGTGAACAATACATACATTTACAAAAATATTCCACAGGGTGGAGTGCAAAACAAGTGGGAGTTTTAGCCATGTCAGATACTAGGTCACAGATTTTTTTTTTTAAATTGCTAGCTTGTGTATGTTTATATTTATTTGGACAATAGTGTCAAGAGACCCCAACTGAGAAATCAGGCCTGGTGTAGTAGGCGCACGCGTGCGCGTGCATGCACGCACACACACACAAAATAAAGAGACAGTCTGCCAGAGACCTTACCATCTTAATAAACAAGGCAAACAAAGAGTGGGAGAATTATTATCTTATTTTTAAAGATGGGACTCTGGGGCACAGAGCGGCTAAGTGACTTACCTACGGTCACATGAATGTCTACGGAGGCACTGAACTCAGAGCTCTCCTGTCTCAGACCAGTGCCATAACCAAAAGACAATCCTTTGCCAAAAGCTAAACAGTAATCCACAGTACAAAACAGCAGTGGCTGCCTAGGTCACAAAAGCCACAGAAGGCTGCAGATGCTAGCTTTGTGGCAGGAGAGCCTCAGGCACTACAAAGCAAAGTCACCAAAAAAACCTTCCCATGATAAGTGAAGTTGTCCAAGGAAAGACAGCATCCAGTAGTCAACTCTTGGAACAGCTGGTCAGTCTGCTTGCTGAGGTAAAGACCACATTTATTACAAACAACTCTACTAACTCCCTTGCATGTTTGCTGTGGGGTGGGAAGGGCAGATAGAGGCACTTCTCTTACTTCTAGATACCAAGAAGAGAATTTCTGATCACAATTGCATCGTGGGAAACCCTTCCTCTCCCACACCATAGTGTATCCCGGAGCCTCTCTTTTTCCTTATGATGAGATGAGGGATATAAACAGAGGTGTTGAGTCTTCAGCCCAGTGCTACTCTTTGCTCTTCTCCCTACCTGACCTTCAGAAAAGAGAGAACAGCCAAGTGAAGTGTCCCAAACTTGGCCCATCCTTTATGAAGTTCTTCCCTAGCCAGCGTAGGGGAAAAAGCTTGCTTGCACTTTAAGCTTTCAGGGGTGAGGAGATTCCCACACTCAATTACATATGCTGCAACAAGGAACAAAAATAGGCATTGTAAAATAATTGCTGTTGGTTAGCTATTCATTGAGTTAGAGTTTTTGGTTATGCCAAAAATGCCAACAATTTTCTTTGTTAATAATATTTAAAAGTTACTTCTTCCCAGAGACAGACAAAATCTTATCACAGACAAATTGTTGACTTTCTATGGTCTGCAACTTAAGGACAATGGAGCGTGAAAAAAAACATGTGACTCAAAAAGTAAATTTTCTTAAAAGGGGTCATTTTTAAGAAGTTATAACTAACAGGCTTACTTAAAAATCCTCAGAAAAAAGTCAACAATAGCTTCCAACTTGCATATGAATTTCCCTTTTCAAATCTTTGGAATCTCCTGGAGGGACAGAGGTGCAAGAGTTTTCAAGCAAGCTTGTATATATGCAGCATGCAAACACTCCTTAAACAGAAATGCTAATGTTGGCTTAGGCATGTGCACCAAATGAATGATGGGTGCATCCCAAAGGATATCCTCTATGGCAAACTTGCATCTGGAAAAAGACCCAAAGGATGCCAATGGAGAAGATTACATTCAGGACCACAGCCTTTGAAAACAAGAGTTTAAAGACCGCTGGAGTTAGGAGAAGCAGCAGTCCAGTTGAGCAGAGAAAAAAAAAGAGTTTCCAGAAGGCAGACTCCTCCAGGGACAAAACAATCACTGTTAAATGTGACACGAGGCAGAGATTCTCTCTCTCCAGTGGGTCTCTTCAACAGCAGCCATGGCTGCTATAAAACAACCTGAGTAAATTCTTTACCTCTCAGTGGCACATTTTCAGTGGCTGAGACTGAAGCATGCCTACTACTAACAACTGGCAGATTCTGTTCTGTAAATTTGAGAAGAGATACTTTATTCTTCATCCAAAAATGAAGAGGCTGAATCCCCGTTTTGGAAGAAAAATTTAAGACAGTGTTAACTCTGAGCCTTCAGGAATGCTTTCACGATAGGCATTCCCTAACCAGCCTAGGGAAAAAAGCTTGCCGGCACTTAAAGCCTTCAGAGGTAAAGAGATTCCCACACTCATCTACATATTCTGCAACAAGGAACCAAAAAAGGCAATATTTATAGTTATAAATGCACATTATAAATGCAAAGAAGTATTAGGTCTTCCTAAACATCCCTCTTTTTCCACATCATTTTTATGTGCCATTACTGATCTGTGTTTAGGCATAGCAGCTTCACTCACCCAACCACCACATGAGGATATTTCATTCTAAACCAGGCTGCAAGCATCCCGCCATAGGATCCCCCTATGGCAATCACAGGAGCATTTTGGGCTCCTGGGATTGTCTCCTTTAGGTGCTGAATTAATATCGCAAAATCTGCCAGGGCTTGTTCCGATGTCAGGTAATTCAGATGTTTAGAATCCTGAAACAAGAACACATTATATAGCATGGGACACGTTTTCAAACATCAATCTTTGTTTTTCCATTTGCAATGTGTGAGCGACTGAAGTCCACACCAGAGGTGGCTGCATTAGGGTAACAGGTGAATTATCTCTGCAAGTGTAGCTTGTAATTCTGGAAATCCCTAGATGCTTTTGAAAGGTACTATACAGAATCAATAGTTATGGGAAATGTGACTCTCCTGCCATAAATACTAGTAAACATGGAGCCAAATCCTGCTCATCTTACTCATACAAGTTGTTACTATGTGGTAAACATGGTTATTCGCAAGCCAGCAGGATTTATACTAGCATAGAAGAATTTTAAGGAGAAAGGAAGCAAGCAGTCAATTCTTCTCAACAGTCTTGAAACCAGTGGGTTATCAGAAGGGGAAAAGGCACTTACAGTGTAAGACTTATTTCCAAAGGGCAAGGATTCTCCATAGTATCGGTGTTCAGCAAACACTAACATGGCATTAAGTTCTTCCGCCGTGTCCCACATAAAGCCCTGGGAGAGAGGAGATGTTTAAAACAACGAATAGACAGTGAATTATTACGCACTTTCATTTAAATATACTCATTAAACTCATAACTTCAGTAGGAAATATGTGACTGACTGGTCATTCACCTATTGTATAAGGATAGCAAAAATAAAGAGAACTAGACAACTATAAAATGCAAAGAAGGTTTAGTAAATCACTGACAATACACACAGGTTCAAAATTCTGCAAGTGGCAAGTAACACAACAGGTAAAGGAGAGTGCTATACACTGTTATTGTGCCAGAGCCAGTTCGGGCCATGCAGCCATAATTGCTGTTTGTCGTCTCAGTGTGGCAGCCATGTAAATTTAAATGAAGCGGCGATTATTTAAATCGCCGCTTCATTTTCCTATGTCTGGTAGTCTAATCTACATGCCTCTGGCGACAGAGGCATGTAGTCTAGACGTACCCAAAGTGGCAGCACCACATGGAGCCCAGGGTCAGTGGGGGAGTCCCCTGCTGACCCTGGTTCCATATGGTGCCATCACTTTGAAACACTGCGTGCAGCGTGGGACAACTGGGGACTCCCAGCTGCCTCAGGGATGCACACGCTAAATTGACCTCCAGGGGACTGATCCCTGCAGCGCCTATTTTCCAGTAAGTGTAGACAAGGCCTTAGTATCAAACCATCTCAAAGGGAATAATCAATCTAGCTTCAACTCCTCTGCAGGGCAAGGGAGTATTATAACCTCCATTTTCCAGATGGGGAATCTGAACCAACATAATGCGAGGTGATTTACCAAAATCTGATAGCCAGTTTATTGTCAACACAATATCAACCTTCCTCCTCTCAGGACCCGATTGCCAGCCCTTTGAAATCAATGAGTGTATTTCCATTTACTTCAATGGGCAGGGGCGGATGAGAGTGCCGCGGGGCCCAGGGCAGCAAAATTTCGCGCCCCCCCCCCCTTTGACACAGCGCATGCGCTGTGGTGCCAAGATGCATGCGCGGGGCCCAGGGCAGCCGCCCCGCTCGCCCTGTCCTAAATCCGCTGCTGTCGATGGGCTTCAAATCAGGCCCTAAACTCCCTTATTCTGCTACATGCATTCTTTTAGCTCACTCTTTCTCAAGGAACACAATTGTTTTAATCAAAATTACTTCAGGCTTGGATTTTAAAATATGTATTCCAATGCAGTCTCCCACTAATGTGCCGCATTGTAAAAATAGGAGGAATATTAGAGAACAAAAATCTATTTTATACACACCGTATTATTGCAAAACCAGGTGATATCACCTTCATTGCCAGTGTAGAAGAGAATTGATCCATTGTCTTTTCTCCAGTGTTGATCTGCTACTAGGTACCGCTGTTGGAATGTAAGATCTTGAACAAATCCAAAATGATCAATCTGTGGGAATGAACATGAAAAAAACCAAACAGATAACTTAGGGAGGTCTAATAACCTCAAGGAGTGAAAGTGTTGACATTCTAAATGAGATTCACCAAGACTGAAAAAACAATTAAACCCAACATTTTTTTACTCTCATACACTGAAATAGATTTAAATTTTTATCCTCTCCAAGTCACAGCTAACCAGAGTTGGATGAACACTGTACAGTCGAGACTGAAGTGAAATGTAATCTCAACTACAAAAGATATCAGTTTTAACAGCATCATATTTAAAGGCAATGCGCTGTTGCATAAATTGCTGGTTTCGTCCCCTTGGAGGCTAGTCTGATTTACCCCAAGAAGAGAGTCACACTTTCAGGCTGGGTCCAACTCACGTTTATTGGTTGCAACCAAGGTACGGCTAAGGAACTCAATGTTCAAAGCAGAGCCGACCCTGAGCGTTGGCTAAGCATCCTTTTTATACTTTCTTTAACTTTCTTATCTAACTTGGCATGTCTTGATTTGTTACCTTAGCTTCGTGTTGCCGCATTATTGGTTAGCATATTTCAACTCTATTCCATTCAGTAACAACCACCAGTATAGCTTACTTAAGCAATAGCAATTAGCAAATTTCCCTAACTCAAGTAATACGTGTACTCCAGTCCTTGAGAAATGGGTCTAAACGGCTAGTTCCCCTTTTTACTACAGCTTCTAAAACATGCACAATTAGCTAAATGATATGTGCTGTTTCAAGCTTAAGTAATGGAAGGGGGAAGAAGCACACATAGTCTTTACTATATTTTACTACAGCGCTGCAGGTGTTCAGGCCTCCCATACTATTGAAATTGCAGTATCTAGAAGATCTGCACCAGGGATCAGAACTCCATTTGCTAGATGGTCTCCAAACACAGTAAAAATATCATGTTTCTCATATTGCACGCAGTCTTGTCACATTCTGGGGGTACAATCCAAACGAGTTAGTGGTTGTATCACAGCCTTCCTTGACACCCTGGGTGCCTTAAATGCTCTGCTGTGGCTCAGCCTGGACAGCAACACCTAGCAGACAAGAACACCCTGAGCATCTGTGTATTAAGCAACTCTGGCTCAGCAGTCACAGGCCCGTATGCAGCAGGGGTGTGAATGCACCCCACCCCATGGTCCCCCTTGGGGCTGATTCCGGCCAGGGTGGGGAAGGCTGGGGTGGCACATTGCCCCAGCCTCCCTCCCCTATGCTCTGACTGTCTGGGGGAAGGCTGAGGCTCATTTCCCCTGGGAGCAAGGCCAGGGATGGGGATGGGGATGGGGCTGGGCCCGGGCCCTGGCCCTGCACACCTCCTGCCTTCTCCTGCTGGCTCTGTCTGCAGCCCCCAAACTGTTCCCCAACACCAATGCCAGACAGCCCACAGGGTCTCCAACCAGACCCAAAGAGCAGCTGCCCCTCTTCTGACTGCCAGCCAATCAAAGCCGACAGAGAAAGGCATCTGCAGCCAATGCCTGGCTGGCACTGTAAGGAAGGGCCTCAGCTCCATGGGAACTGTAGTCCCACCCCTATCCCTCCAGGCCACTGGACACAATGAGGGAAATGCAGGGGGGATGCAAAAGAGGACTGCAACTCCCAGCATGCCATGTGACTCTCCTGTGGTGTGTATGAGAAGCCAGCCCTATGAGTGAGGTGGGGGCAGAGCATGGACCAGGCCTGGGCAAAATACCCTCAGTGGGCTGGATGCAGCTCGTGAACATAGCAGAGAGCCTCAGGAAGACTCCTTGCCTGCCGCACCCCAGCACACTGCTGAGAAACTGCTGCAGGGCTTTGATTGAATAGCTGTGAGTCTTCACGTGCTGCTCCTGCACCCAGCACAGTCCCATTGGCCTGTTTCCAGCCGATGGGAGATACTTGTCACCCGACAGCTTGCAAAGCACCCTTCCCCTCCTGCCCTGAGGCTCATAGCTGTTCAAAAACCTCATGGCCCCTGCAACCAGTCTGCTTTAGAAGGCTGCTGGCTAGGAGTCAAGGAGGTAAATCTCCCAGGGTATGTCTACACTACAGCACTAATTCGAATTAACTTAGTTTGAATTAGTTAATTCGAACTAAGCTAATTCGAATTAGTGCATCTACACTTAAAAACTAGTTCGAATTAGCGTTTTGCTAATTCGAACTAGCATGTCCACACTGAGTGGACCCTGAACTGAGGTTAAGGCTGGCCGGAAGCAGTGCCGGCAGGGCATCAGATTAGGACTTAGAGTGTGGAGCTGCTGCCTCAGGCTAGCCGAGGGCTGTGCTTAAAGGGACCCGACCCCCA